ACACACACACACACACACACACACACACACACACACACACACACACACACACACACACACACACACACACACACACACACACGGCTCACATGATGGCGAAGATTTCGCCGCCCTTGAGCCGTTTCCTCCTGTGCGAATGCTGCGGCGTGGAGGTCGTGGTCGACGACGACGCCGAGGTTGACGGTGCCGATGCGGTGGTGATGGTGGTGTGTGGTTTGGTTGTGTCCTCCGTTGTGGTCGCATTGGCCGTGCTCGTAATTGTCGTCATGTTGCCCTGGGTACTTGAGGTGGTGGTGATGTTGGCGGTCGTGGTCGTGGTCGTGGTGCTATTGCTGTGCGTGGTGGTGGAGGAGGTTGTGTTTGCTGGGATGTGATGCCTCGTGCTTGTGGTGGTGATGTTGGGCGTTGTAGATGCGTTTGCAGCAGAGGTGGATGTTTGTGCAGCTGCGGTGGATGGCAGCGGTTGCCCCACTGCCGCCGGCTGTCGTGACAATGCATTGGATGGTGCGGGCATGGGCATGACCAGGCAACCTGTTGGGGGAGGGGATGGGGTACATGCGTGTGCATTCGTGTGATGAGCACATGTGTGAGGAGTATGGGCAGACAGATGAGACGCACACAACTGGCATTGCCCGGCGAGCAAGGAGACAGAGAGCGTGTGTGTGTGTGTGTGTGTGTGTGTGTGTGTGTGTCTGTCTGTCTGTCTGTCTGTCTGTTTGTAAGAGAGTGCGTGTATGTGCATACATATGGGTGGTGTGTGTTAGCCACAGACACATCCAAACACAAACACACACACACACACGCAGACACAAACAAAAATCCATACTTTGAGTTGCGAGGATGCCCAGGAATGCAAACAGGAGCCACGTCCATCGTCGCCGCCACTTGAGGCCGCCAGCACCACCGCTGCCATGGCCATCACTCGCGCGTTGCGCCATCATCATCGTTGTGGTTGTGGTCATGTCACGGGCCACAGCAGTGTCTTCCTGCGCGCACGTCGCACACAGGGCTTGTTCGTCTCGGGACAGGCGTGTCGCCCATGCACCACTCGCGGGTTAAGGGTGTGCTCCAGCTGCACCGACAAAGATCACAATGGCAACAGCGCTGGCGGTGAGATACGTGCGCGCGTGTGCACTCGCGTCTTTGCGTACGTGTACGTGTTTGGTCGCGTGTGTGTTCGGAATTGGAGGGCCAGGCTGTTGTTGATAGTCGTCGTTGTTGTTTCTGCTTTTTTTTTTTTCGCACACACACACACACGAACGCAACAAACAACAACAAACAACGACGATGATGATGAGGCTGAGGATCAGGCTGAGGAGGAACAACAGGGTGGGTGGAGGAGGTGTGTTCGCTGTTGCTGTGTTGCTGGCAGTGGTGGTAATTGCGCTTCTTGCCGGCGCTCAGGCACAGGATGTCGACTGCAGCACCGAGCCAGACAACACGCCATGGTATGGGCATGATCGCTGTGCATGTGTGTGTGTGTGTGTGTGTGTTGGAGATGTAGTGCTGTGGCAGTGATGGAACGCCCACGCTTCAGCAAACATGATCACGATCACGCTGACGTGCTCACTTGACTCACTTGCTTGCTCACTTGCTTGGCTGCTTGCTTGCAGCGATGATGGCTCGTCCCTGACAGACAACGATCGCTGCCAAGGAGGTGTGGACCCCCCCCCCCGCTGTCCATGCGTGTGCCATGCGTGTGCAATGCTTGTGCCATGCGTGTGCCATGCATGCATCAATGGTGATTGGCGCCTTGCCCTGACATTATGATCACTCGCTCGCGCTCCTTCCACAGGCTCGTGCGTTGGCGTGTGTCGCAGATATGAGTTCAACGGCCAATGCTTGTCGAGCTGCCCATCTGGCTACGTACGTGACGCACACCTGAAATTGTGGACGCGCGCGCGCGCGCGCGTGTGTGTGTGTGTGTGTGTGTGTGTGTGTGTGTGTGTGTGTGTGTGTGTGTGTGTGTGTGTGCGTGTGTGTGTGTGTGTGTGTGTCAGTGTGCTTCTGCTTTTTGCATTGTTTTGTGTGTGTCAGTGTGCTTCTGCTTCTGCTTCTGTGTATGTAGCTTGTCGGCTTGAAAGTTGTCGTTCATGCTGCAGCAACCCTGGGTCCAACGGCCTTGTTCCTGTGGGCACAACAGGTAGAAGACACAAACACCTGCTCAGAGCTGCATGAGGAGTGTGGTAGCCATTGCCTGGACTGCGCCGACAACGGCAAGAGCTGTGCCAGATGCCAGCGATCCAAGGTGTGATTCCCGTTCACTCTCGCTGTCACACCAATGTAGCATTGCATGATTAGCATGACAGCCCTTTTCACCCTCGCATTCATGTGTACATGTGTGTGTTTGTGGTTCAGTACCTTGAGGACGGGGAGTGCCGGGATGAATGCAGCATCAAGAGTTCAAGCGGCGAAAACAGGTGTGTGTATGTGTGTGTGTGCGTGTGTGTATGTGTGTGTGTGTGTGTGTGTGTGTGTGTGTGTGTGTGTGTGTGCATGGGTGTGTGGGTGTGCGTGCGCTGGGCCGCTCATCGACCAATCATCACGCCGCTGCACCAACAACGCACTGTCATGGCCAGCTTTCGAACGGAAACAAATCCATATGGCCGCTACTGCAACACTCCGCCACCAACAGAGACTGTCCTTTCAGAGAGTGAGTGAGTGTGTGTGTGTGTGTGTGTGTGTGTGCGTTGTGTATGTGTATGAGTGTGTGCGCACATGTGTCTCTATGGCGTACGCGTAAACCCAGCCAATGTCTGCTGTCACCACCCCATTCTTACTTCATCGCCACACTTGTCACCACCACCACCAGCGGTGATCATTGGCATTGCTGCGGGCGGGGGTGCGCTGGTGCTGCTCATTGTCTGTGTTGTCGTGTACATCACGTGCGACCGCCGCCGCTCCCGTCTTCGCCTCGAACTCGACGCCGAAGACGACAACACCCCGCACAGGCAGCGTGAGTGTGTGTGTGTGTGTCTGTGTCTCTGTGTGTCTGTGTCTGTCTGCGTGTGTGTGTCTGTCTGTGTGTGTGTGTGTGTGTGTCTGTGTCTGTCTGTGTGTCTGTGTCTGTGTGTGCAGTTGCACTAGAGTGTTTTTGGAACGAATGGTCCCCCACCGCCCATCACACACACACACATACGCACATACACATACACACGCACACGCACATACGCACATACGCACACACACACACACGCATGTCTGCCTGCAGCGTCCACGCGAAGTGACACAGAATCCATTGCCCTCTCGACGTTTCCGCCACCGCCGGAATTCAGCGATAACACGTGCGTGCGACCTGTGTTGTGTGTGTGTGTGTGTGTGTGTGTGTGTGCGTGTGTGTGTGTGCGTGTGTGTCCGTGTGTTTGTGTCTGTGTCTGTGTTTGTGTGTGAGAGAGAGACCAGCAAGAAGAAGGTGTATTGATTGTTGTCTCTGACACACGCGCACCTATGCACACTCTCCAACACCTGCACAAACACAAACACAAACGCAAACACAAACACATGCACACATTGTGTGACTGCAGATCCGTCTTTGCAACAGCGTCGTCACCATCTGGCGTTAGCGATAAGCAGAAGAAGAAGGTTCACACATGCACATGCTCATGCACAGGCACATGCACATGCACATGCACAGGCATACCTCAATGGACACACTGACACGCACTTGCACACATCCATGTGCGCGTCCAAGCGCTCACTCCTTCGTCAAACACATAAACACACGTAATACACACACAACACACTGCCCTCCACCCCTCTTTCACCACTTCAGTGGCAGAAAACGGTACGCCGGCTGTCGCAATCGCAGGCGCTGGACGCAACGACGATGGACATATCCGCACAGACGCAGCACATTATTGACAACATGCACACGGCAACGCTCGGTGCGGCTTGCAGTGGTTGCCAGGGGCAGAGGGAGAGAGAGAGAGAGAGAGAGAGAGAGAGAGAGAGAGAGAGAGAGAGAGAGAGAGAGAGAGAGAGGAGGGGTGTGTATGTGTGTGTGCCTGTGTGTGCCTGTGTGTGTGTGTGTGTGCCTGAGTGTGTGTGTCTGGCTGGCTGGCTGGCTGGCTGGCTGGCTAGCTGTGTCTGTGTGCAAGTGGAGCATGCTTGAATGTGTGCTCACACGTCACCACCACCAACCGGCTCCAACCGCCACCAGATGCGTCCACGGCACAGCACGTGTTTGCGCGTCTTGCTGAAATGCGACACGACCGCGCCCTCTACTTCGTTCTCCTCAAAGTACCGAACACACACACACATGCCGTGCGTGGACATGCTCCGTGTTCTTGAAGGCGACCATTTGCTATTGCACATGTCCTGACCCTTCTTCTTCTTCTTCTTCTTCTTCTTCCTCTGCTGCTGTCCACCACCACGACACGACACGCCACCGCCCTCACCAACCTCACACGCCACCACCTTCACCCCCTCCCCTCCCCCGGGGGGCGCGTTGCAGGACATGCAGCGGCGGCAGAAGAAGAAGGCGGGGCAGCACCAGTCGACGGAGCGCTACGACCGTCTCATCGCCGACCTCACAATCGTCCTCCAGCTCTTCCAGCAGAGCAAGGTCCGCCTGTGTGTGTGTGTGTGTGTGTGTGTGTGTGTGCGTGTGTGTGTGTGTTTTTGTGTGTTTTTGTGTGTTTGTATTTGTGCTTGTATGCTGTGCCTGCCTGCATGTCTGCATGTCTATCTGTCTGTTTGTTTTACCGTGTCTGCTCGTTTCCTTGAACAGTACTGACCTTCTCCTCCGCCCTTCTCTCATCTCGTGTGCCGTGGTGCTGTGTTTGCTGCGTGGACGTGCAGTCGAATCGCACATTTCCAGTCGACTGCATGCGCCTCCTCGATTGGGCTCAGGTGACACCACACCCTATGCGCGCGTGTGTGTGAACGTTTCTGTGTGTGTCGATGTGTGTGTGTCTGTGTCTGTGTCTGTGTGTCTCTGTGTGCGTGTGTGGACGACGGAACTGCATCCCACATGCTTCAATTCAACCCACCTCACACCATTGCCCTTGAACACTTGATGTGTTGTGTTTCCCACTGCCAGTCGACATTGGACAAATACGTCAGCGCACGGGCAGCGAAGATGGGCGCGACTGTCGAGTCCTCGGAATCATAACGCGACACACACGCACGCACGCGCACACACACACACACACGTACACACGACACACACGTACACGTACACACGACACACACACACACGTGCTTCATCATCGTCATCACCGCCGTCATCATCATCATCATCGTTTGTGTCCAGGACAGATTACACATGCGCTGCTCCGGTCATCTCATCCACTTTCGTTCTTTCTGACCCCGCCCCCTTATCATGCTTCCAATGTAGACCACCTCCCTTGCACGCTTCCCTGCTTTTCCTCCTCTCATGCACACGTGCACGCTTGCTGCGTCGCTCCTTCATGCGCGAGCTGTTGTGGCTTTTTTGTTTATCGCTTGGTCTTGCATGTACGGGTGTGTGACTCTCACAATCGCTCTGTAAAAATCCTCCCACAGACAGAGACACGCCATGTCCCAATCAAAGGCCAAAGCATGCGAGCGTGTCACACACTCACACATACGAACAACCCCACCGACAACACGAACAGCAGCAGCGCTTGCCAGCAACCCCTGTCATGAACGAGGGAGCGCGGGTGTGCATCTAACTTCTTAATCAGCAGCAGTCTCGCTGCCCTCCTTTTCCCCATCACTGACTTTGTTCGCTTCTTCCTCCTCACCTTTGCTGCCATCACCATCATCACCATCATCATCGCCATTCTTCGTCCCATCACCATCACCATCACCACCATCATCATCACCGCCATCACGCAGGTGCAGCTGCTGCTTGAGCGCGGCAACTTCGGCCTCCAGTTCCGCCCGCTGGCTCTGCACCTCCTTGCACGAACCGCTGAGCGCACGCGTCTGGCAGGCATGGAGCGGGGGCGTCGTGGCGGTGATCGTGAGTACGTGAAGGAGGCAGGGAAGAAGGAAGGGAACGAGAGGGCCATGGTGGCGGTGGTGGCGGTGGTGGCGGTGTCAAAGGTAAATCGACGAGGAAAGTTGCTCAAGAGAGACAAACGGGACAGACACAAAAACTTGATGTGTGTGTGTGTGTGTGTGTGTGTGTGTGTGTGTGCGCACCAGTTTCTTGAGAGACGCAACCTCCTCCAGCAGTTTGTTGCGCTCGGCGACAGTCGACGTCAACTGGAAGGAAAAGGATGGAGTGACCCGGATGAACAAGAAAACACATAACAAATGCACGAAACAAGAAAACACACAAACAAATGCACGAAACAAGCAAACAAACACACACACACGTGTACAAAACAAAAACACTAGCAAACACGAACAAGAACAGGCCCTGCATGCAACAAGCAAGCGTCAACTGCGGTGGCCACCTTGTCCTTGAGCAGACCGGAGAGCTCCTGCTGCTTGTCGTGCGCGTCCTTGAAAGCGGTGCACTGCTTGTTCAGCCGCTCAAACGCATTCCGCCACTCACCCATCTCCTTCTCAAGCTGCTTCATGCGCCCAGCCTGATTGCGCGCGCGCGCGCGTGTGTGTGTGTGTGTGTGTGTGTGTGTGTGTGTGTGTGTGTGTGTGTGTGTGTGTGTGTGTGTGTGTGTGAGTGTGTGCGAGTGTGTGTGTGTGTGTGTGTGTGTGTGTGTGTGTGTAAATGTGTGTGTGTGTGTAAATGTGTGTGCGTGTGTAAATGTGTGTGTGTATATGTGATAGCAGAGGAGGTACGGCGAAGGCAACACGTTCCCATGCATCGCCATGTAAAAACGATATGCACACGGCAAACGCAGGTGTGTGCGTACCGCCTTGCGCTGCTTCTGCAGCTCCTTCTGCTGTGCTGTCGCTTGATCACTCAACTTCTTGAACTGCGCAGTGTGCGTGCATGTTTGAACTCAGTGAGCGTTGAGGAGCACAACAGTTATCTGGGGCAAGCGTGGGGACGTGCACATGCACCTATGAACACACACACGCACGCACACAAGCACACACGCACCCACACACATACAAGCACACGCGTACACAAACGCATGTTCATGTGGTGTTGCATACGCACCTCGTCGAAGAGGCTTTGACTGGACGCTTTGTATTCATCAATCGCCTTTCCTTGCACTGCCAACTGCTGCTGTAACACTTTCTTGTTCTCAAGCTCCTAAACGGAAACAAGCCAGTTCAGGCACACAACGTCAGCACATGGCTTCGCACACACGCCTTCCATACACACACCAAATAAACCCACGTCCACACACATCCACACGCACACGCACGCACGTGTGCACATAACACACACATGCACATACACCCCGCACGCACCTGCTGCAGTTTTGCTTCGGCAAGCTGTTTCTCAAGCTCCTTCGTCTTGAGCAACTTTGCGACTTGCTGTGATTGACGGTAAAGCAGTAGCACCATATCATGTGTTGTCGAGTCAAGTTGTGAATGCACGAGTGTCAAACTGTTGCCATCATGCATGTGTGGCAACACGAGAATTTGGAGCTGTGCAGACGCATCCACACACACACACGCACACACACACACACACACACGCACACACGCACACACACACACACCTCCTCCCGAATCTCCGACTGCTTGACAAAGGCGTCAATCTTCGCTTGCATCCTGATGTGTGTTGGAAACAGGTGTGCGAACAGCACGAAGCAGCAGTTGCAATGAGATGATTTCCGGTGTTGTGGCTCAACCGCCTACAGTCGTCCGTCCACACCACTGGCCACGCCGACAAAGAGATAGCACCACCACCAACATCACCACCACCACCAGCAGCAGCGAAAGAGCAAGGGATCGTGTGAATGTGTGCGACCGCGTACGCTTGGTGGTATTCGTCGCGCTGTTTCTGCTCTTTGCTGCTCTCCTCCACACGGGCGGAGATGTCGGCGAGCGACGCCTGTTGGATATGGATGGGCGCATCAACCGCCAAACAGAACACCACATTGCATGAATTGAATGGCTTGTGTGAGTACGCGGTCGACAGTAACGTCGCAGTTGGAACGCAACGTGCACACACACACGCACACACACACACACATACACACACACACACACGCACAGGTGTACCTGGAACTTTTGTGTGAGCTCTGCCCGCTTTGCCTCTTCTTGTTTCACCATCGCTTCGGCTTGTTTCTGCTCACACAACAACAGCCCATGCAGTCACAAGCAAACATCAGGCACAATGCAGACAACAGCAGTGACGTGACATCCTTGCAAGCTCACGCATGCACACACGCATGCACACACGAAAGCACACACTCACACACTCATACACACTCACACACACTCGCACACTCATACACACTCACACACACTCACACACACAACCACACACCTCGATGACGGTTCGCTGCTCTGCGAGTCGCCGACTCAAGCCATTGAGCTGCGCCACTTTGTGCTCAAGCACAGCATTCTCCGCTTGCACCTGGAATGTACGGCGTGCGTGTGAGTGTACTTGCATACATGGAGGGTGCTATGCTGTGGTATCTGCAAAGCAGCTCTGCAGGGTATGATGTGATACCTGCTGCAGTTGCGTCGACAGGTCTAGCACTTGCTTCTTCAGCGACCCGTTCTCCTGTTTCTGTTGTCGTGTCGTGATGCACATCAGGTGTGTGTGTGTGTGTGTGTGTGTGTGTGTGTGTGTGTGTGTGTGTGTGTGTGTGTGTGTGTGTGTGTGTGTGTGTGTGTGGATGAACTCACGTGTGCGTGTGTACAAGCATGCATTACAATGGAGGAAGAAGCAACCGGGATCGCAAACGTACCAGAGCTGTGTAGCGTTGGACGGCTGCCTTTTCACGATCGTTGAGACCTGTGGCAGGCGATTGCATGATCTGCCTAAACTCCTTGAGCTCCTTCATCCCTGCAACATCACACACGCATGCATACAACCAGTGAGCGTCCGACGCTTGTTGGATGTCGACATGAACGAGAGCACAGGCTGTCCAACTGCAGCATGGTGTGTACCAGTGAACGTACACACACACACACACACGCACACACACACACACACACGCACATGGATGCGATTCTGCTGCCTGTGTTTCCTTCTCCAGCTCAGCGATCCTGGCTTGCAGCATCTTCTGGCTGTCCTGAGTGTCTGCAAACATCCCCCGGACCGCATACACACACACACACACAGCTGTACGTGAGCGCACTGACACATCAAAGCAACACAACACAACAAGGAGCATCAAACACACACACACACACACACACACACATGCGCGCGCCCACAAAACACCAAACACACCAGTCATCTTGGCCGTTATTTTGGTGGTGGATGATGTGGTGGAGAATGTCGTGGCGCGCTCACACACGACCACCACCCCTGTCACGCCTTTCCCCCTCCTCAGCTAACGAGCGAAAGCTGGCTGGCTTTGTTTATTCTGGCTCTATGTTGACAGGCAGATGATGACTGCTGGCCTTGCTAGAGAGGGGTAACGCGTGTGGAGAGGCGTGTGAAGCGAGCCGTGTGTTCGTCACGATCGACGGTCCCAGGCAGACCTTCCGACTCAAGCGTGAAGCTGGCGGCTACAGTGCCGTGTAGCGCCGCAAACAGCAACCTGTCTCGATCATGCAGGACCCCATGCACCCACGACGCAACCTGCTCGGGCTCAACATCACCGCTGCCCACACCCTGTCCTCCTGCTTGTCGTTGCTGCTGCTGTCTTGCGGCGCCTTCAACACCACCATCATCACCATTGCGCTGACCAAGTACAGCACCATCATCTAGAGCATTGTCATCGTCGTCGTCATCACCAGCACCATCACGACTGTCACAGCACGGCTGGCACAGCGCAGCGAGGAACGTGCCACAGAACGTGTTGCCGCACCCCGTGTCGTTGACGAAGCGTGCTGTATCGACTGTCGGGATGGAGGCTGCCCACGTGCGTGCAGCAACAATGCACCCGTCCTCACCACAGCGCACGACAACAACAGGGCACGCGAGCTCGCCCAGCAGCTGCCGTGTGACGGCGACTGCGGGCATATCGGGTGGGGCGGACAGGAGGCGCCGTGCTTCGTGCACGTTGGGGGAGTACACGTGGAAGGAGGGCGAGAGAGCACGCATGGCAGGCAGATCACCTGCGCTCACCCGCTGCAATGTGGGATGTGTGATGTGGTGTGTGATGCGGTGTGTGATGTGGTGCGTGATGGCTGGGGTATGAGAAGCGAAGATATGTGACGTGAGGGGAGAGCACGCAGGCAATGGATGGAAGCAGGTGGAAGCAGGTGGGAGGTCGAAGAACGCACAGCCAGTGACAGAGAGCTCCAACACACACACACACACACACACACACACACACACACACACACACACACACACACACACACACACACACACGACGTACGACTAATTCTCCCAGTTTGAAATGACGCGATCACACCTAGTGTAGGTCCGCCGATGCGTTGTCGACTCCATAGGAAAACCGGGAGGTTAGGGCTACCAGGACGGAGGAGTGACACTGAGGGAAAACCCCATCCCTCTCGGAAGCATATTGCGGGGGTTTATGCCTAGAGAGCTCACACACACACACACACACACACACACACACACACACACACACACACACACACACACACACACACACAACCACACGTACCGGTGATGGCTCAAGCAATGCGAGTCCACGAAAGCCGCGACGTCTAAGGTTTGTGACAATGTCTGCTGCTCGCTGGGGCGCCGCCAGCAGATGTACGCCACTCGCACCAATATAGTGGTCTAAGACGGTATGTGAGCGTGAATACATGAGAGACGGGCTGGCTCTTGCGCTCGTATGCACACACTCGCACGCACGCACACACACACGCACGCACGCACGCACACACACACGCACGCACGCACGCACGCACGCACGCACGCACGCACACACAGAGAGCAATATGCATGGTGCGCAATTCTACATGCACACAGAGCAGGGTTACACGCAATCACATGCATGGCACGCACCGGGAACATCTGCGACTGTTGGCCGAAAGCGGTCACGATAGGTTGCAGTGTCCATCATGGCAAAGTTGCGTGTCCCATCCATGTACGACACGAGACGGCCTCGAGGATTCGGTATATCGACTGTGGAGAAGCGTGGGTGGAGAGTGAGTCGGGAGCAACCGACCTTGAGTCACCACACACACACACACACACACACACACACACACACACACACACACACACACGCACGCACTCTCTGTCTTACGGATGGTGACGCCAGCTGTATCGATGTGCAGCTCGCGCATACGGTTGAGAAAGTCCACGTCGGTCAATATGTCGCGGCCAACACGCGCCACCATGGCCGCGGTTTGCTGGATATCAGAACGACGTTGACCAGTGATGGCAGTGTGAGCGTTGGCTGACACGTGAATGGATACACATCGCGCGTCGGGTGATACGCTGGTGAGGTCATCAATACACTCACTCACTCACTCAATCAATCAATCACACACTCGCTCACTCACTCACTCACTCACTCACTCACTCACTCATACTCACTCATTCATTCACTCACTCACACTCACTCACTCACTCACACTCACTCACTCACACTCACTCACTCACTCATTCATTCACTCACTCCTCACACACACACGCACACGCACACACACACACGCACACACACACTCACGCTCACACACACACACTTACTCACTCACTCACACGAACCGGGAGCTGTAGGTGGTCGCACATGATGGCCATGCCGTTGCAGGCGAAGGTATTGCCGCCCCCGAGGGCTTGTGTGAACATGTCATTGGTGTGGCTGGCGTGCTGAACCCTGTCTGGCGGCATCCCCGACGGTGACCGCGTCACACCTGGCTCCCTGCAGATGATGATATCATCCACAATCACAGCAGCCATGCTGAAGCACAGCGGCGGGCGCAAGTGCTCTTCTTCTTGCTGCTCTTGGTGACGCCACTGTCCTGGGTGATGCTGCTGCCCTTGGTGATGCTGCTCCTCGCCACAGCCGCTGTCTTCGCACGGCACCCCCATCGTGCAGGTCGGTAGCAGGTATTTGCTGCTCCCACAACAACACAACAACACAACAACAACAACACACCCGAAGCGAGCAAGCGAGGAAGGACTGCTGCGTGGTTTGTGCGTTTGGGCAATGGTCGTTGGTTCTCACGCAATCAATCAATCACGCACAAATCACCCACAACAGCGCTCAAGCAATACAGCCGGGGGAGGCAGGTTGGTCAGTGGCGCAAGCAAGTGAGCGAGCGAGCGAGCAAGGGTGGGGGGGGGGGGGCGAGGGGGGCGATTGCTTGATCCATGTTGATGGTGGTTGGTTGGCTGGTGGCGTGCTGTTGTGAAATGCTGGGGTGCTTGCTGCACCAGGGTGGTGGCATGATGTGGCGAACGAGCACGTGCCACCTATTGTTCATTCATCCTCTCGCTGTCTACCGCAGCTCATGCACACACGCACGCACTCTCAAACGCTGGTTGTATCCATCGCTGACTACTGTGACTCTCATCCTCGATCCCACACATCTCGCTGCCGTCGCTGCAATCCACGCAGAGAGACACCGCCACACACTACAACAACGTCATGACAAACGAGGACAAAGCATCGGGCCATCCCCGCCGTGCCGCCGAACCTGCCGTTGAGGAGCGTGGTGCACAGGGCTCGGGCCAGCCCACGGCAGTCGTCAAGAAACCACAGCCCTCGCTCCCGCCAATCCTCAAGTACGCACGCATCTCGTGTCCGTGTGTCTGTCGGTGTCAGTGTGTTTGTCTGTGTAAGTGTGTCTGTCTGTGTGTGTGTGTATCTGTTTGTGTTTGTGTCTGTGCCCATCTAGTTGTGCGATATGTGAGGCACACTCAGGTACTGCACCTGCATCTTGCTCTCTTGTGCTCACTTACAGCGTGTGTGTGTGTGTGTGTGTGTGTTTGGTCAGGTATGGCACAGGTGCTGTCGCCACCATGGGAGCGTGTATCTTCAGCAATCCACTGGAAGTCATCAAGACGCGCATGCAGCTCCAGGTCTGTGTGTATGTGTCTGTGCGTGTGTGTGCGTGTGTGTTTGCGTGTGAGGGCTTCTGCCTCTGACTCTGTTTCTCTGTCTATCTGTCTCCTTGTGTTTCTGTCTGCTAGCTCATCCCCTGTACTCTGATGTGTGATGCTTTGTTGTGGTTTGTGTGGCAGGGCGAGATGAAGTCGTACGGCACGTACACCAAGTCATACCGCAACGTCTTCCACGCCGGTTACCTCATCTTCAAGAACGAGGGTTTGCGGTCCGTCAGCATGTGTGTGTGTGTGTGTGTGTGTGTGTGTGTGTGTGTGTGTGTGTGTGTGTGAGACGTAAGGTTACAC